TGAAATAAATCAGACAGAAAAAGTCGAGAATCATGACTTCACTCATACGTGGGATATAAAACTGAAAGCAACAAAGGAACAAGAAAAACAAACAAAGAAACAAAAACTTATAGACACAGACAACAGTTTAGTGGTTACCAAAGGGTAAGGGGGAAGGAAGGATGGTAGAAGAGGATAAAGGGGGTCAAATATATGGTGATGGGTGGATAACTGACTCCGGGTGGTGAGCACACAATGTGATATATAGATGATGTATTGTAGAAATGTACTCTTTTTTTTTTTTTTTAAAGATTTTTATTGGTGAATTGGGGGGATGGGAACAGTGCTGGGGAATTGGGGGAAGGGGGACAGACAAGTTGCTGTCATTTTGTTCCTCAGTCTAGTTGTGGAGGACGTCGCTTCACTGGCCCAAGTTGGCACCATCATTGAGCTCTTCCCGGGTGAGGCAGATCAGTCGCTGGCTTCTGGACGGCCGCTCACTGCGGCTGCTGGCCGCTCACGCTGGCTGCTGGCTACACACGGTAGCCCATGGCAACCCACTGCCACAGGGACTGCAGCCCACGCCGTCGCCGGCGACTCACAGCAGCCCATCTCCAGGTTGAGCCGTTGTTCAGCATCTTAGCTGTAGAGGGCAGTGTCACTGGCCCTCATATGTGGGATCCGAACCGGGGCCCTCTGGCATCCCAAGCGAGTTCTTAACCATCGCGCCACTCGGCCGGCCCTAGAAATGTACTCTTGAAACCTATGTAATTTTACTAACCATTATCACCCTAATAAATTAACAAAAAATCCTCAAGGATAAACCTTAAAATGTTAACAATGATTAAAATATTGATATAAAAAAAAAAGAAAAAAAGAAATTAGGAGATTTCTTTAGAAAGTGAACGTTCCATGAAGTAAAATTGTGGTGGTGGAATGAAGGAGCAGTACCATGTTGTGAAGAGATTGATGGTAAGCAAGGAGAGGCAGCAGTTGTAAATTATTAATTGTAGAAACATTTAGTGGTGAAAGGTTGAAGAACATTTAGGAAGGTAGGTATAGGAGTGAATAAGTTCAAGGTGGTCTTTGTTGTTGCTGGTTTGTTTTTTTGGTATCTGATCTGTGTGTGGTTATGTTTAAATGGAAAAGAGCTCATAAGGAGGGGAAGTTTGCAAGATAATAACAACAATATATAGTAATTACTATATGTTAGATATTGATATTAACATTTTGCATGTATTAACTAATTTCAATCCACATAATAATGAAACTGAGGGTCCTAATGATTTTGATTAAATTTGGTTTTAATCCTAGCTCTAGAAATCGTATCCCCCTCTCTCTATATACCCCTTTGGAGACCCAGCCTTTCCCTGGATAATCAGCAACCCCTAGGGCAGCAGAGGACAGTAGCTGAGACCTGGCTAATGGTCACATGGTCTGGACCTCTGGCAGGCTGACGATAATACCTTGACCTAAGTTACAGCTTGACCTAAGTTACATTTCAGCTCCTGAGCCCTAAGGTAGAATGATTCCCTGGCTACTTTCCCATGAGACAAAGCGATGCTGGAAAAGACCTCAGAGCTGTAGGAAAGACCTGAAGAAATTATTTAGTCTTACCTCACCTACAACCAATCAGCTCCCAGCACAACCCTAAGCACCTAAACCCAGTGTCTTGTGATTTTGCCCTATATAACCTGTAACCTATAGACCATTTGGGAGTCGGGTTTTATAGAGCATAAGCTCCCACCTCTATTTGGCTAATTCAATATTAAACTATTTTTCTCTTTCTGTACTGCACACTCTTTCTACTGCTTTGTGCATTTCTTTGGGCCACTGCACACATGCAGACAGACTCAAAGAAGAACATTGGGGTTCCAGTAACAATAACCAATAAGATACTATAGATATGGTTTGGAATTATTGACATGTGGAGTGTACCAAGGAACTGAGGTAATTGCCTGTAGATTTATCAGGGCAAACATAGTTTCTTGAGTGAATTACAAGCAAACTGCTGTATAGAATAACAAACTAGAAATGTGAGCAACTTTCCTGATTATCCTGTTTGGATATCTCAGTGTAGTGCAGTTTGACTTCCTGATGTTTGGGTTATTTCTGGCTTTAATCACTAGTAATGAGACTAGTGTTCTTTCATTAGAAACTGAGATACTCTTCATGGTTTTTCCATTTGAATCATTGATTAGTTGAACATGGTCATTCTTTATAGACCTTCTAAAATGTTACCTTATTCCTTGTAATAGGCGGCTCAGTTGTTTGCCTTTTTAAGTTAAACTTTGTATTTTAAAAATAATGGTACAATTAAAATGTTTCTTCAAGTACATAGCTAAATTTTGCTGACATATCACATATCCTATGCGAGCCCTATTGTTCTTTTTATACAATTAGAAGACATTCCTGGTAGCTTGCCAGTTTCTGGTATCCTAAGGTCCCCAAACCAAAATTTACTTTTCTACTTTTAGGCATAGCATTTCATTCATTTGGTGAATTCATTAATCATTCCTTGTTTTGAAAACTTGCTAGTACTTTCACATGCTCATGTCCCTCTCATTTTTTTTTCTTTTTAGTTTAGTTTGGTATTGTCAATATCATTTGGCTTGATATTATTATCTACTAGCTTAGTAATTTTAGTTATGGTTTTACATTGAATCATTAATACTGCATATAGTGCAGGTAATTTTTACAAAATTTTAAATTCTTTTTTTTATTTAGCAGATATCAATTCCTTTTCAACTTAAAAATATAATTTAAAACTTGGAGAAGTTGCAAGAAATGGTACGAAGAATTCCCATATACTCTTCAGCCAGATTTACCTATTGTTAACATTTTGCTGTTTTTATTTGCTTTATTATTTTCTCTCTTTATATATATATATATATATATATATATATATACACACAAATACACCCCTATATATACAGATATATTTATATTTTTTTTCTTCTGAGCCATTTATGAGTAAATTACAGACATTATACTTTTTAACCCCTAAATACCTGAGTATTGCTTAAGAAGTTCTTTTTCTTCTTTTAAATAGGTTGTTAGAGCCATGTGGGTAGAACTCAATTTACTTTCTCATATATCTTTAGTAGATGGCATTGGAGAAGGATTATGTTGTTTGGGGTTACACCTGCAACTTGAGTGAAATATTTTGTCATTAGTATTTCTTTGGACTGTTTGTTACTGCCTCTCTTGGCTTTGTTCTTTTTGGCTCTCACCTCTAGTTTCTGACATCCCTAGAGCAAGCGTGAGGGGCTTAATGCCTTACCCTACATAGCGCTGCCATTCAGAGCCCCAGAGTCTTTTTCTTCTGCTCCTGCCTTTTCCCCCTTTGCTCCCTGAACTTAGGGGCGTGAATCATAGGGCAGGCTGAGTTTCAGGCAGCGCCTAATGTGGACACTGGAAACCCCACCTGCCTGCCAAGTCCTTCTGAGCAAAGTGGAGGCTTGGTACTTGTCATTCCTCTGCAGCAGTTGAGCTGAAGGAATGCTGCACGGCTTGTTGGAAGTTGTTTAGCGGCCTTGAGTGGGGTGTGTATGAGGGTGTGTGTAGAGAGTTGAGGGTCTTGGAGTTTGTGTGGGAGACGTGAAATCTGTCCTGGTGCCTTGCTAATCACCAGGCAGTATTTATTGAGTACCTCCTTATGACTAGCACTGTGATAGGAACTTTTGGAATAGTATAATAAAATATGTAATTGAGTCCCATTATCAGAGTCAAACAATTCCAGCTCTGCCACTTACTGGCTTTGATTTGGGCAAGTCAATGTCTTTAAGCCTCACTTTACTCTTCCATGAAATAGAACTATTAATACCTACATGTAAGTGTAGTGTTTAGCACATGTCTGTCACTAGTTAGTATTTCATTTCATATTTAGGATTTGTGACTGACACCATATAAAACAAATAGAGAGTAAGACAAATAGAGAATAATATGACTCTACACTATATAATCAAATACTTTAATTGTGACACATAGATTATAAATAGTCTGGGAATTTAGGAAGAGAAAGAACAGTCTTGTGCAACCATTTAATGTTCCCGAGCCTCAATTTTTCCACTGGATGCACTGTGGAAGTGCTAGGTAATCTCCCAGAGAATGGTTGAGATATAGCACTTTTGCTTTTTTTTGGGTGGTCCCATATGATGGTGGGAAAGGAGAATCTTGGGGAACTGTTAGAAACCAAATTTAACATTTAACATTCTGAATTTTTTCCTTTTGTGGACGTGGCAGCCTCATAGGAAAATTTGAAGCTAGAGATTAGAAGCATTTCCTTCCAAGGAAGGTGCGTGCTTTGGTATCTCTCCCTGTTGCCTCACTGGCATTTTAATTAGTTGAGAACTAATGTTGGTCAATGGATGGCCTCTGATAGTGAGCACCTCGGATATAATCTGAGGGTTAAGTGATTTGTAGCCCAAATTATCTCTCTGATCTTCTGGGAAAAATATAATATACAAACAAACAGAGAAGGAGGTTGAGTTCTCTTGGACTGATGTTAAGGACACAGGGTTTACTTGTCATAGTGTTTCTCTGGGATGGGACATCTTTACTTAGAACAGAGTCCATACTAATAACTTGGCCCTCCCACCTTTAAATAGGCTTTCATAGTTATGAACATGTAAAACACCTTTTAAAAATTGCTTTACAACATCCAAAAGAAACTGACTCAGTTCCTAGTTTCGTGTGTATTTACTTGGTAATTTTTTTGTTAGCCTGATTTTGGAAAGTTTGTATTTAGTTTTTGCTTTTGTCCAGATCAGCGCTTTTTCTCCTTCTAGCAAATTTTAGAGATGTTTCCCATGAAAGTAAAGCTGCTCATACCTTTTTTTTCCCCCTCTTTGGTTTCTCCTTTTTGTTGTTGTTGGTTTTTTTTTTCTTGGCATTGTTTGCCAAGGTTTCAAGTTTATAGTGAGAGGTGAGGCAACGTTGATCTTGGCAGCACAGCACAGAGCCAGTAGAGTCATTAAGTGACGCAAGCTTTTGATTTTTTTTTCTTCTGTCTGTTAAAGCTCTCTGGCACAGCTGGCTATTCTAGTCACAGAGGAAGAGAGGAGAAGAGACTTTCCGAAGTTCTGGATGGAATGATAGAAGAAGTTTGGGGCATATTAAACAACAGCAGCAGCAACAGCAACAAAAACCCCGTGTTATTCAAACAAGCTTCTTAGCTTTGTGGAATCTATGTCAGTTGCTTAGGACTTGAGTTTTTACTTCAGAGGATGATGGGACAAGAGGAGGGTTGTGTTGGATTCTTGCTGATCTGTCTGCCTCTCCTTCCAGTTGGAAAACTCTTCAATCCACAAGAAGCATTATTAACAAGCCTAAGGAACACACCCTACCCTGATCCTGGATTCTGTTGGAGTTGAGGATTACAGCCACTTCACCAGGATTTTATGGAGGCAGTTCAAGAAAAATAGAAGGAAGCAATACTCAAGGATTTCTGTTTGTGTTAATCCTGTGCCGTGTTAAATTTTGCGCCTTGTTTGGAGCAAGTGGGGGTCGGCTTGGTCATGTGGATCTAAGAGGATACCTGCGGTCCTTGAGCTACATCTGTGATGTTTGGAAGGTTGTAAACGCAAAATCAACACATACTCATTAACTTCTGGATTCTCTTTCTATTAAGGACCTCAGCAGACAGAAACTCCCTCCCCGAAAGATACAAAACCTTCTCTGTGTTTTCAGGCTAATTCTGAACGATGTCTTGGAAGAGAAATTATTTTTCAGGAGGCCGTGGGAATGTCCAAGGGATGTTTGCACCTCGAAGCTCAACCTCCATAGCCCCCAGCAAAGGGCTCAGCAATGAGCCAGGACAAAACAGCTGCTTCCTCAACAGTGCCTTGCAGGTAAGGGCAAGCTTTTTCTTTTGGGGGAACTTTGACTTTTAATTGCTGTATTTCCAATAATTATTTCAAATACAACACTTGACAGTCTCTGTTTGAGGTCAGCAGCCTGAGATCATTTTTTAAGTTTATCTGTGTGATCTTAGGCAAGTCACTTTATCTCTGAGTCTCAATTACCTCGTTTGTAAAAAAAGGGCATTAATAACGATAATAGAAATAATAACTCTAACTACTACTACTTACCTGCCTAAAGGGGACGTACATGGATTAGATGGTCTTACTACTTATTTATTGACTTTTTTCCTGAACAGCCTCTCCTGTTTCCTTTTTGTCCCCTTTTGAGACCAAAGTGTCTTGTCATCCTAGTTGCTTTTCTCTAGTATTGAAAACGTAATTCTTTCCACAAGTGAAAGAGTTTCAGGTATATTATTCTTATCTCATAATATTCAGACTGGACACACTGAATGGAGTCCGGTCTTTGCCCACTTCTTCATTCCCTTCCTCTGAGCTCACCTGTAGTAGCTCATAATTGGTGTCTGGTCAGATATGCTTGAACAGAGCTTATGGAATTCCCCTACCCTAGATTTCCCCTTTTGGTGTTCCTTGCCACCCTCATGGCCTCAGAATCCCAAAGCTTCCTGTCTGTCTGCCTGATCTGCTTAGGCCCATAGAATGTTAGGTTCATTTATCCCTTGTGGCCTAACTTTCAAGTAATCCCTTTCCCCTCTTTTATGCTTTTCGGAGTAAAAGTAAATACAGTTTGGCACCCAAGATAATTATGCCTGGGTAAAATATTAGCTTTACACCTCAGGCGCAAGGAAAAAATAAGTTGCTGAGAGAAGAAAAGACAAGACAGTATTTGATATAAAATGTCCTGGTCTCAGGAATTAGGAGACCTGGATTCTACTTTTAGCCCTTCTGTAGATGAGTCTTGTGACCTGGTAAAGGTAGTAGTATTTCAGTTTCTTCATTCATAATACAAGGAGCTTGTCAAGCTTATTTATGTAATTAGAGTTTTATACACAGTTTCCAAATTTTTATTTGAAAACATTAAAAAATACTATGCTGTGAAGCCTATAGAAAGAGTTTAACTACTATCACTAATCACTACCACAAATTTCATGCAATTGGGTTGGGTTGGTTAGGTTTTTTTCCAGGTGATGTATATTAGGTTTTTGGGTGACTTTGCATAAACTAATAATACTTTTGTAGTTTAAAAGCAGGCAAAAAGGGTGTTGATACAAGTGTGTGTGTGTGTTAACCTCCTTCCCGGCCATAGTCCTGTATTTTTTAAGATTTTATTGGGGAATTGGAGAAGGGAAATATTGTGTTTTTTCCAGGACCCATCAGCTCTAAGTCAAGTTGTTGTCCTTCAATCTTAGTTGTGGAGGGCGCAAGCTCAGCTCCAAGACCAGTCGCTGCTTTCAATTTAGTTGTGGGTGGGGGCACAGCCTACTATCCCATGCGGGAGTTGAACCGGCAACCTTGTTGTTAAGAGCACGCGCTCTCACCAACTGAGCAGCTGCTCAGCTCAAGGTGCCATGTTCAAACTTAGTTGTGGGTGGGCGTAGCCCACCATCCCATGCGGGAATCGAATTGGCAACCTTGTTATTAGGAGCAAGTGCTCTCACCAGCTGAACTATCTGGCTGCCTCGCGGCAGCTCAGCAGCAGCTCAGCTTGGACACAGCTCACTGGCCCATGTGGGAATCAAACTGGTGACCCTGTTGCTCAGAGCTTGTGCTCTTAACCAACTATGCCACCCGGCCGGCCCTAGAGTCCTGTTTTTATAATTCTGTTTCTTTCTATATGTTCTTCTATACTGTCAGTTGAAACAATAATATTTATGACTTTCTGTTTTAATTTCCAGTGCAATATGGAACACATACTACACACACACACACACACACACACACACACACACACACAAACACACACACACATGTCTTTGTACTTAAAGATTGTGTCATTGATAGTTTTGAAGTGTCTACTATAATCATCATATAAGTTGAAAATAACTGTAGAGCTAATATTCTAACTTTTGATACGAAAGCTGTGTTCACCACAGATGTGTTAAACCCATTACATTTGTTATAAAAAGGTGTTTCTTATTTGGGCGCAGAGTGTGTTTCAGAGAACTTTTGGAATATATACCTTGACACACCTAAGTAGGAAACTCCAGAGGTGTGCTGTCACCTGGGGCTCCAGAGTGTAGTGCCTTTTCTTTCTTTTTTTTTTTTTTAAAGATTTTTATTGGGGAATTGTGGGGATGGGAACAGTGCTGGGGAATTGGGGAAAGGGGAACAGACAAGTTGCTGTCATTTTGTTCTTCAATCTAGTTGTGGAGGATGTTGCTTCACTGGC